TTGAACCATACTCCTAGAATTCTAACTGGGGTATTTGTGGGAGTGGAATGAATTGGTATGTTATTGAATGTTGCATTGTTTCATTGTCATTTTCTGATGAATTAATGACCATCAATGTTGATTTGTCAGGATTTACTTTAATGGCATTTAATTGGTAGAAAGAAGAAGCAATTGATAGAATTTTGTTCATTTTTTCTTTTGATGGTGCAATCCATGTGGTATCATCCATGTATGCAACATTTGTAATTGTGACAGATTCAGTGTTGGTGGTGTATGGATTAACTGTTAAATTAGATGGCAAAGTAGTATTGATGGTGTATCCTAATTTTGATTTGGATTGAATATGACATAGTAAAGGATCATAATATATGCACCACATCAATGGAGAGAAAACTTCACCTTGATCAACTCCATTACTCAATTGATAAGGGTCAGTTAGCCATAGTCTGTGATGACTTGATTTGTTCTATCTTGAAATGCAGTGAGAAATATTTTCCTTAATTGTTGAGGGAAGTGGAGACGTGCCATGGCTTTATCTAACATACTTCTATTGATTAGGTCAAAAGCTTTACTCATATCTTGTGAGAGAATCCAGCATTCTTTTTTAGATTCCCGTGCATTCTCAGAAATTGCATTAATAATGTGGATTGGTTCTTGACATGATTTCCCTGGCAAGCCAGCAAAATTATTTCCTTTTAGGATGGGATGAGTTAACATGGTTGATGATAGTCTATTTGTGATGATTTTATAGAAGCATTTACGAGTGCATTCTAATAATGTAATAGGACGAGTGTGTGTGAGTTGATAATGCCATTCTTTGGGTTTTGGTATGGGATAAACATTGGCATGTTTCCAAGCTGATGGAATATGAGATGTGGATATGCATCTGTTGAATAGTGAAAGCAAAATTTCTATGGTATCTGGATTCAGATGTTTTAGCATTTCATTTGAGATTGATGATGGTCCAGCACCTTTTTTTAAAGGGAGATCTCATATGTTATTTAGTAATTCAGTTTTTGTAATAGGTGATAGTATGGAGTCATACCATTCAGGTTTGATGTAGTTTAGGGGTTGATAGACATGAGCCCACTCATTCCATAAGTTATTAGGAGGTGGATTATTTGCTGTGCTAGAAATATTTGAGAAGTGAATTCTTGTATGAGATTTCACAGTGTCTGGATCTGAGGATATATGTTGAGATCCATCAGGTAGAGTAATCAAGATTTTGTTAAGGTCAATACATCTGTAAGGTTTTTCAAGAATTGATGAGAGCATACTTGAGAGGTTGTCTTTCATGTTATTACAACGTTTTTTGATATTTTCAGTGATTTGTTTGTTGATGAAGTCCCGTTCTTTTATGTGACAGATTTGTCAAAGTGAATGTTCAAAAGTTTTAGTCAAATTTATAATATTTTCAAGAACTTCTGTGTTGAAAAGTATAAAACTAGGGAATGTGTAGTTATGTAAGGAAGCAATGGTTTTAATTGAGCAAAATGTTGTATGCCATTTTATTGGCAATGGAGTAGATTGTTTAAATGAATGTAATGAAGAAAGGAGATGTGTGATTTTACGATGTTGTTTGAATAATGAGGTGTTGATTAATGGTCGGTGAGGAGTAGCATGTGGTGAAACTTTTTTGTAGGGAGGGTTTCATTTGCTGCAGATATAATGATTTTGGAGAATTCTTGCCAAATTGAATTTATGTTGTTCAAAGATTTGGGCTGTTGAATTAGAAATTTTAGTTTTGATTTTTCAATCATTAGGTCTATTTTGTTTGCAAACTTTGTCCATTGTTCAAAAGTAGTTGCTGAATAGTTAAATATTTGTCATGAACATGTATTGGTTTTTATGGAATGTGTTGTTGGTTGTGAGGTTAAGTTAGATATCTCAAATGAACATATAATTAATTTATGATCAGCATTGTAAAATGGAGTAATATCAATTGTTTTGAATGAGATTGGTGTAAGTGATAATGATGGTGATATCCAAATTTGATCAATTCTTGATGATTGGATACCATTAGACCATGTATGTTGTGGATTGTCAGAAAAGAGTGATGCAATATCTAAGAAATTTTTTGACATAAGGTGATATGTTACTTTGTATTTTCATCAGGAAATTAATTTAGCGTAAACTTGCATAAATCTTACGATGCCGACGTAATATTGTGTAAATCTTACAGTGCCGACGTAAGTTTTACACTTTTTTATTATTAAACTTACAATTGACATGTGTAAAATTTTTTTATATTTTCCGGATGTTAACCATATTTAGTATTTTATTAATGGCAATGGACCAGTCTAAAATCCATCTGTTCTCAATGGACCAGTCAATTTGCCAACCCTGGTTTAATGAAGGATTTGATGGAGGAAAAGGTAGACCTAACAAAGGATTTAATGCAGGAACTAGCAGATGTAAAGGAAAAAAAAGAATGCGAAAAATCAGAACTAACAAAGGATTTAATGCAGAAACTAGCAGATGTAAAGGAAAAAAAAGAATATGAAAAATCAGAACTAACAAAGGTTTTAATGCAGAAACTAGCAGATGTAAAGGAAAAAAAAGAATGTGAAAAATCAGAACTAACAATGGATTTAATGCAGAAACTAGCAGATGTAAAGGAAAAAAAAGAATACAAAAAATCAGAACTATCAAATAGTATTACGAATTTTAAGAATGATATCAAATACCGCACTGAACTTCTTTTACAATCAAAAAGGATGTGTAATGTGAGAGGTGCCTTAGAGTTCATCAGATCAATGGTAACATTCTGTGTTTTTTTTTGTGTATTTTTTAATTACTTTTGTCATATTTTGCTTACATACTTTTTCTCTCAATAGATTCAATTGCAGGATAAAACTACCTCATTTTGTGATCCTACAGACAGTGATTTAATGAAATTGGCACAAGATGCAAAGTTTGTGTCATATTTAAAACAAATATGTTTAGCTAATAATTCTCAATACAAAGATGTAGAAAAGTGTATGGGTGGTCTTTACCATACTGTATCAAAACAATTACATGGCCATGATAAGAATATTGAAATCCATGCACAGGACTGGAGTGTGAATGAAGTACTAGCACTAGGTGCTCTTTTTCATTATTATAATATTCCATATTATTATTATGATGAAGAGGGACAATTAACTGAATACCCTTACATTTTGCAAAATAGTTCTGTTAATGGGATCTCATAAATATTAGAAAATTTTTTGCATTTGAAATGTTTATACTATATAAATAATAAAATTTGCTTTTCAATAACATAAAACTTCAAGTCAAATTATGTACCTGATTTTGACATATATACAGTTGTGCCTTTCTAAATAATATTGACAAACACAATCTTCAAAATTGCCTGAATGACAATACAGGATACTAGAGCACTTTATGCTCATTCAGACTATTACTTTCAACCAACAATTCAAATGATATTGGATTTTTTCCAACAAAAAATCATCTTCAAAATCATTTTTATCAAATATGCAATATTGACTAATACTAATAATATAGATTATAATAATAATTGGTGAAAACTTAGATCCTATTCACTTTTACATATGTGTAACATCAGTTGCTCAAAGATCATCATCCTATAAAAAATTTGGGTTCCAGCCTCACAAGGTTCAGGTGTAAATGTTTACATAGTTGATACCAGGATTAGAGGTTGGCACCATGCAAAAATTCTTTAACTGGTTAATTAACCGTTAAAATTAAGAGTTAACCAGTTAACTGGTTAATTTAGTCACATGGAATTTTTTAAATGGTAAATTTACTTACAAAATAATCATGTGCTGTTGAATTTTATTATTATACACTTAATAGATGCTAAATGATTACAGTCAAACCTCACCACAGCGGATTCATGGTTCCAGCCAAAAAAATCTGTTATTATTATTATTATTATCTGCAGTGGCAAAATTGGTAATAATACAAAGCTCTCTCTCTATACCGAACCCTCTGTCCATTATATGCATTTTTCTGCTTTTGTTCATTATAGGGAGAAATTAATAATTGAATTGGAGATGGGTGACAAAAGGGAAATTTGTTATAGAGAAATTTACTTAGTGTTCATTATAGAGAGGTTTAGTATAATGCAATAAATTAATAAACTAAATACAAAAATAAATAAATGAATAAATGAACAATACATAAGGAAATGAAAATTATTTGTTGAAATAAGATGTAATATTTGGTTGTATTATCCAATAATTTCACTTTTTTCAATGGTTTAAATGCTTTAAATTCTTTACAATCTATTTCTAAATCACTTTGTTGAAGAAAATTAAAAGCTATCTCAAAGGAAATTACAGCATCTTTTGTTGAAACTAGACATAGTGTTGCTCTCAACAACTATTATATTATTAACATCATTTTGAAATCTTTTTGACTATATTTCTTGAATTTTTAATTTGATTATTATATATTTCATTTTCAAAGGGAGAATTGTAGTTTTCCTCTATCAATTTTGGTAATTTGGACATTTATATGTCACGTGAATCTGCTGTAATATAGAAAGACCCCATCAAAAATCTGTGGAACAAATTTATTATTAGTAGTAGAATCCGTTATCATTATGACAAACGTCTTAATTAATATTAATAAGGGGACAATACTTAAATCTGTTGTAACAAGAAATGTGTTGTGGCGAGGTCCGCTGTGACAAGGTTTGACTGTAATATATAAAAAAAATTAATAAATGGTGGCTAACCGGTTAACGGTGCCAACCCCTAACCAGGATAAATGTTAAACATCAAGAAATTGTAGGATGAGCTTGACATGGTGGTTTGTTTTGTCCAAATTGTCCTGCTATAGATGACCATGGACATGGAACACGTGTAGCTGCCTTAGTTGGTGGAAAAACATTTGGTGTAGCAAGAAAAAGTAACCTGATAGCAGTCAAAGTGTTAAATAGCTCAGGTAGTGGAACTATGGCAGATGTTTTGAGTGCATTAACATTTGTATTGAATCAACACAAATCCTGCTCTAATAAGAAAACAGTGGTTAATATGTCACTTGGTGGACCACTGTCACAAGCACTAAATGCTGCTCTAGAAGCTCTTACTAAGGCTGGTATACATGTGGTATTAGCAGCTGGTAATAGTAATACAGATGCATGTTCACAATCACCATCATCTGTTCCATCAGCAATCACAGTTGGTGCAACTGATCTTGTTAAAGTTCTTGGCATCATTACTCTTGATCATCAGGAAAACGTGTTTTTTGATACATATATTATATGTATATTATACATGTATTATTTTACATTACAGGTGATCTGCATATAATATATGTATAATTCGTGTGTAATTTATGGACATGTGTATTATATGTATATTATATGCGGATCACCTGTAATGTAAAATAATACACATATAATATACATATAATATGTGTATCAAAAAAAACACATTTTCCTGATGCATAAAGTGGCCAGCCTTTCTAATTTTGGCAAATGTGTGGATATTTTTGCACCAGGAGTAAATATTATTTCAGCAGATGCTAAAACAAATACTGGCAAGGCCATGTTTTCAGGTACAAGTCAGGCAGCTCCACAAGTTGCAGGTGCAGTTGCTTTGAGTATTAGTAAGAATGGTAATACTACACCAGCTATAATGGCTAAAAGAATTATAGATTTAAGTACAAAGGATGTCATTAAATTAACTACTCTTCTACAACCAAACACTCAAAATAGATTGTTGTTTATTCCTTTATAATTTATTACATTTACTGCATGTAATTTTTCCATGAATTTTTAATACTAAGTTGGTGCTCTAGTTAATTTTTACAATAAAAATTACAGGATAATTGTCTTTGTAAGCTAAGCTTGTCCTCCATAATTAAATATCAAATGTTGCAACATATACATATTATGTAAAAACTATACATTGCATTGCAACATAATCATGATGCAGTTAGACCAATTTTCTATTTATATTATTTCACTTTTAAAAGCATTATTTTTATAAAACATTTGATGCGATTGGGAATCTTTAAAAAAAATGACAAACATAACTTATGTGTAGCTTGGTTACCAAGTGTAAAATATTCCCAGATATCATTATATTTTGGACCAAGTTTGTTTTTGTTATCAGTAGCAAAATTCATCTTTAATTATTATAAGAAAAATAAGAAAAATAAGAAAAATGGTTTTAAAATGCACAAACATACTTGTAGGTGAAGTAAAGATAGTGACCTTGCCTTTTATTTGAATGTAACATTATGACATTGTGGTTAGTTGCAACACCATAATTTTACATTACAGGTGTCAACTTTATTGTAAACCCAGTAGTGTTCCTACTTGTAGCCTTTACACCATATATGAGTATTTGTAGCACTTTTGAATATTAATACTATTGAATATTAGCAGCATCCAAATACTTTATACCCATGACTTAAAGATAGCTCCTCAATTAATTGCAACATATGAAAATTGAATTGTGACTAATTGTGGTTCCCATCTTTACTCATGGTATAAAGATATTTTGTGGCATTGGAACCAGATTCACTAATTGATGGTCATGTGAAAGACCATAATATCCTTGAATTTTTGTTTATATTAGATTACATAAAACGTTTCAAGTAATTTTTTTATAAATATAGAAATGACCTAGATAGAATAATTGATAACAATATTGTTGTTAGTGAAATAATTGATGAAGATGAAAGTGCAGACAAAAATGAAATTTAAATGCGATAGTTAATATAAATGCTCAAATAGGTATTGTAGCTGAAATAAATGACAATCTGGTAAATAAAAAAAGGTAATTTATATGTTGTATATATTGGGGGAGTCAGTATTACACATACACTAGAAGACTCCAATGGTGTGGTTTTTTCCTTATTTGGATTTAAATTTAATTCTCTATTGCCTTGAATTATAGTGTCAAGGTTACCTCTTTTTTTGAAATACTTCGAATAGTGTTGGCAGTGACATTTCAATAGTTTTCCCGGCCCTGTTAATGTACTTGTGAAAAAATTTTTTTTTTAAAACCAAATTGTTCAAGTTAGTCACGTAATTTTTACAATTTTTTCATTCGGCATGTAGCACAGCAATTGTCATATAATTTTATTAACTTTATGTGTGCAATCATAATTGGTTATAAAATATATCAAAAGGTACACCAGTTACCAATTCATTAAATAAACAAATATCAGCATTGAAAAGTATACAAGTTCAAAATAAATAAACAATTACAAGATTTTATATTTTTATAATTCATCTGGTATAATTAATTCAATCTGATGAGAATCTAAAAAAAGATTTATCACAAGAGTAGATATTATTAAATATTATAAACTTTAAAAATTAATAAAAATGAAAATAATCAATGATTTAATGTTAATAATTACCATTATTGTTACCAATAATTGTCACTTTATTGGAATTCACAGGTTGGGGAAGGCTTGTGAATTTTAATAATCTGCTAGTATAAACTGCATTTTGATGAATTGTTGGAGTAATTGTTGAAGGATCAAATTTTATTTCATCCATTTTATCAAATTCATTTCCAATCAATTCTAATTTATCCTGTTGTTTTTTTGGATATTTATCATAATTAAATGAATTAAATGATTTACTCCAAAAATCAATAATCCAACAAATTTCTTCAGCAGATGGGCGTTTATCTGGATTAGCATCCATACATTTTAATGCTAGTTCAATATAGAACTTTGGTGTGTTGTTTGAAAAACCAGGTCTTATGCCTTCACATATTTTTATTGCAAGATATTCATCATGTGCCAAATTATTGAATGGTTGTTGGCCAGTTGATATTAAAGACATCAGAACTCCAAAACTATATATATCTGATGCTTTTATATGTCTTCCCCTTTAAAACTTCTGGTGCAACATATGGTAATACTCCAAATATATCATTTTTGTTTGATGCAGATGTTTGACTAGCTGGGCATGAGAATCCTAAATCTGTAATATATGAATATATTTTTTTATGTTGAAGAATATTACCACTATGAAGATCACGATGAATAATTTCTTTTTCATGAATATCTTTTAAACCTTTAATAATTTCATAAAGAATATTAATTTTGTTGTTCCATTTTAAATTTTTAAAATCTTTTGCTAGATAATTTTGAAGATTTCCATCTTCAATATATCTCATTACAAATATATATTCTTTTGTAATTGGATCTTGTGTTAATCCATAAATATGAATTATACCTTCTTCATTATGAAACTTCGTATAATTTTTGAACTAGAGTAACAAATAAAATGTTTAATTATAATAATAATAATCAAAAAAATCTGAAACTATTAATAAAATAATTTACCTCATTAAGAAATTCATCAGAAATATTCTGTGAATCATTTAGTTTTTTTAGTGCCACAATCCTATTACTAATAAATATTTTACTATTTTTAAAATCTGAATATTTCATACCATTTAACCAAGTAGCTTTGTATATGGTTGCAAACCCACCTTCACCTATCTTTTTAATATTTGTTAAATCATTATAAGGAATCCATTGAAGATAATAATAACTACCATACTCAGTTGCTTTAAGCTGTGTACTTTTAATCAATTCATCTAATGCTTCATTGCCACTAGTCCATCCTTCAGTTAATAGCTTTGGATTGCATGATTGACACCATACTGGCTTAGTATTATATCTATTGCAGGTTGGGCATTTCCCATATTTTTCTTTTCTTTCCTTTGAATATTCATCATTTTGAAGACTTCCATCTTCCATGTAATGCATTACAAATATATATTCTTTTGTAATTGGATCTTGTGTCAATCCATAAATATAAATTTCATCACGAAACATCATATAATTTTTGAACTAAAATAACAAATAAAATATTTAATTACAACAATTAATAAACAATGATATATTAAAAAATCTGAAATTAATATTAATAAATAATTTACCTCATTAAGAAACTCATCAGAAATATTCTGTGAATTATGTAGTTTTTTTAATGCCACAGTGATATCTTCACTGGTTCTTTTATTGTTTTCATGATTTACACTTTTATAACCATTTAACCAAGTAGATTTGTATATAGTTGCAAGACCACCTTCACTCATATTTTCAATATTTGTTAACTCATTATAAGGAATCCATTGAAGATAATAACGACTACCATACTCAATTGTTTTAAGCTGTGTATTTTTAATCAACTCATCTAATGTTTCATTGCCACTAGTCCATCCTTCAGTTAATAGTTTTGGATCACATGATTGACACCATGAATACCAAGTATTATATCTATTGGAAGTTGGGCATTCCCCATACATTTTATCCCTTTTCTTTGAATATTCATCATTTTGAAGACTTCCATCTTCCATGTAATGCATTACAAATATATATTCTTTTGTAATTGAATCTTGTGTTACTCCAAATATTTTAGTTACATCTGTAAGCTTTGTGTAATATTTGAACTAAAATAACAAATAAAATGATCAATAATATTTTAAAAACTCCAAAACTAATTAATATTAATAAAATAATTTACCTCTTCATTAAAAAATTCATCAGGAATATTTTGTAATGCCACTGTCATATCTTCACTAATTTTTTTGTTATTATAATTTACGCTTTTATGACCATTTAACCAAATAGCCTTAGAAACAACACCTTCACCTATCTTTTCAATATTTATTAAATCATTGTAAGGAATCCATTGAAGATGATCGCTATAATGATACTTAGTTGCTTTAAGTTGTGTACTTTTAATAAACTCATCTAATGTTTCATTACCACTAGTCCATCCTTCAGTTAATAACTTTGGATTGCATGATTGACACCATGAATAATAGGTATTATATCTATAGCAGGTTGTACATCTCCCGTGATATTCTTTTCTTTCCTTTGAATATTTATCATCATCATTTTTGTCGGTAGAAGTATCATAAGAATGATTATTTTCATTTAAAGCGTTTTCCATTTTAAAAATTTATTTGAAAAATTTTTTTTTAAGGGTGAGAGACCTATGAATGATTTTCATTATTTAGTCGCAGGTAGTGGTTATATCCGTCGGATAGTATCCGTGAATATCCGTGGATATCCGCGACTATCCGGATATCAATTTTATCTCACTATCACAGTTGATCGACGGATATTCGACGGATATCTGGAAGAAATATTTGTGAATATCCGCGAATATATCAGTCACAGGACATTTCCCGCCGATCTATAGGAGGTTGTAAAACATAGTAAATTTGGATGATCTGCATCATAGTAAAATTCGAATTTACATAGTAAAATTTTATAATCGAATGTCTTCACACCCTC